AAATGCAACAAAGAACGCTTGGTGTGATAATATCGTTTAATCAAAAAGCAGCGAATGTTTTTTTTCTAGAGAGCTGAAATTTGTTGTTGTTGTTGTTTAGTGTTCCTTTTTTGAAACAGAAATATTTTTTGTTTTTTGTGTTAGTCCAACGAAAAAGTGGTATCTGTCTCTTATTTCACTTTGGAATGAAGTGAATAGAAATGATTTATGTGGCTGCCTTTGACAAGCGTCTGTTTGTCTGTGAGAAAGTAAATTTAATATTAGCAGCTTTAGAAAAAACGATTGCAATCATTTACATGGAATGCTTTGTAAACAAGCTTGTGAATAACCGCGAGAGGAGATTGCAAAATCTAAAGTCGATACGGTAGAAACAAGGCTTTGACATCGAATGATGGACTTTTTGTGGAGGCTCATACGAGGAAGCGATATTCCTAAGCCAAGTTCTCCATAATACCTTAACCCTGTTACTCTCAGTAGTGAGAGATATTAAACTTATCCCCACGATATCCATACAATGTCTTGCAAACAAGTAAAGTGAATACTTTAAGTTGTTATCTTGACTTAACACCAAATTCTTGTAACTGATTCGCCATAAACTGTATACCAGCTAGAGGGAAGAATTAACAATACTGGGGGATCTTGGGAATGAAAGGGTTAATGTCATACTACATCATAACTCATCACTGAAAATTTTATCTTGAACATACATGTTTCGTCTCACTGAGGAGCAAATATTTTAGTTAATTAGAATTTTTTAGGATTTTTGTTATTTTCTCATGAACTTCTAATCTTCATCTGCTCCCTTGTCAGATAACGTTGATGAAAAATTGCTGCGCCTTAGTCAAAAGGTGCCGGCTCATTTTTCCAATAAAATAGCGCTTTATCAGAGCAAAGAATCTTAGCAGAATGACCTCCAAGTGAGAATAAAATAACTTCACCTGTTCCCTAAATAAAGGAAATTATTAGAGGTTGCATTCATTACGTACGTTTCTGTCAAACAATGACTTACATTCAACAGCAGAGTAATTGGCGTGGCGCTCGCATGAAATTCCAAGCGGTGTAGAACTAGCAAATGCATGGCGCGTGCTATTAGTCACTGAACTTTATATAACAATATCGTTTTTATTCATTTTGTTTTAAGCTTAAAATCCGTGCGGTTTTGTCCGGTAGCAGGTTGAAATTTTTAATGTAAGGGTATATCATATGTCTGTAACTTCTGCAAGTTTGAAGTCCTTGTCAATTTGAAACTGTCATTGATGTGAAGAATGTGAGTCGTAATTACGCCGGAAATCTAGAAGAAGTCAACGAAGATTCTGTCCGAAAATACAAAAGCAGCACTAAAATCGTGGAACTTAAATGCGCAAAATTATGATACAATCCCCCAAATCAATTTTTCCTAATTTTTTTATCATTATAAAATTATTATCACTTTTCTTTAAGACGGCAAATTCAGCGCTAATAGTTTCCCAGCGAGGCTTAACACATACGTTCAGAGAGATTGTGCACTTTTAAAGCCCTTCGTCTTCTTGTTATTCTATCGAAATTTATCTCTAAAAAAGATTCGCAAAATTTTGGGCTGAGAAACGTTGCTATAAAAGAATAAAAAATCTACCACACTTGAGCTGAAAATATTTAAAGACATAAGATAATTCAAGAGATTATACAAAATATATATTCTCTTGAATAATTCCACTAAAAAAAATGCAATTCTAAAGAAGTCCTTTAACATGCATCGGATGTATTTTAGGCAGACCATAGATAACCATCTGTTTGAGGTATCCATGTCTAGATAATTTTTTCTTTGCCTTATTAGCTCAGATCTGGGTCAAATGTCGAACTGCTTGAATGTATTCAACCCTATTAAGAACGCCTCGAGAGACGACAGACACTACAGTCTTCATACTGCATCTGACAGTTTTGAAGATCTGCAGTGTTTAGGCCCTGTTCACGCTAACAATCCGATTGTTAGGCTCGGTGAATTTGTGCACCTTCTCGCCGCCTTTGTGTCGTGTATTCGTCATTGGCGGTCAACGAAGAGAGAGGACGAGTGTTAGACGAGTAAGCTGCCAGGCATATGATCGATAAGTTTTAACTTCGTGTTTTTTCTTTAATTTGGATTTTGCCTTTGTCTCAAAGTTCTGATGTGTGTATGCTTCCAAAGCTCAAGGTCATCGACGAAATGATTCTAACTCTCTCTCTCTCAACAGCCGCAAAAAGCATTCGTAAATTTTAAGTTTTTGTATTCATTTTTTCCTAATAAAAGCTTTGCACCAACTACTTACGATTTAGGCTTTACGCTCACTAAGCAAATTCAAAAAGGGGACGTCGAGTGACGAGCGCACAAAGATTTCGTGCTTAACCTTTCTTTATTCTTCATTTCAAACGGAGTATGTATATATGTCGCAATGCAATCGATAGCATAAGTTTTACTTCATACTGAGTTCTTAGAAAGAAATGGAAAAAATCATGTCTAGACAAGGGCATTTTCTCTCCTCTCTGTTAGTTCAAGCTGATGACTAAAATTCTCGGTTTCTTCTGGTGCAGCTATCAACTAAAGTTAATCACACTCAGCTTTCGCTTTCGAGAGTGAATGAGGACAAATTGCTTCTATCGGAATTGTGCTTACTGGATAATTTGAAGATGCTGTGCATATCTTTACCTCAGGATTAATTAGCACTGCTGAATTTTTGGGATAAAATCCAAATCTCACGAGGAATAACGTAACGAGAAAATTCTGATAATTCAAATGACTACCCCAGCAAGATCCTGAAAAAATCGATCCTCTTTTGATGAGAGAAAAATTGTATCGTATTAGCCATTTTTTGAAAAGAACAAATATTGCATCTTATCGGTTTACCAGGTCAAAATCTTCGTTGGGCACGAGTGGAAATTTTCTCAGAAGTTACACAGAGTTGAGAAATATTTGCTTCAGACAGTTTTTGAGACAAAAAAGTTGACACGCGCATTTAGTGCTTTTCCAAACATCGGAAAATATTACATTAGCGGGTAACTGGTTCGTGTTAAAGTTGTATCCTAGAAAAGAGATGTAGTCACGCCAGAAAATCTCTCTTTTAATCTTTTTTCATAGTTGTTTGCAGAGGAGAACTTCGCTGTTACTAAACAGTTGAAAACAGCCTAAGTTCTCGATACTTTTGAATAAAAAAGAATATTTTCACGGCTCAAGTCGACAACAGAGACTTAAGATATGTAAGTTCAGCTTTTCACGATTTTTGGAAAGAGACTCAGGAGAGGCAAACAAGTTAAATGACTAGAATCACTGCTTGTTAGCATGGAAGAGTCTTGAGCACATTCAAAAGAAGACGGCTCATGAATCATTTAGCCGGACGACATCAGCATTAAGATGCACACATGTAAGGCTTCATGTCTTCTTCGTTGAAACAAAAATGACATTTTCGACATATTGATTATGTTATTCATTTAAGTGTGATTTATAGCTAATTAATGAACAATTTTATCTAGACTAGAGCACTGGTACAAAATTAGTCTTTCGGTGCTGTGTCAAGCCAGAAATTTCATTTATATCATCACGCCGGAAAAAAAACAAACAAACACAACTAATTCATGATATCCTTTGGGCTTTTACACGTGAGTTGTTTATCAATCCGCACTCATCTTTTTAAATACCTTTCCAGCCGTCAAATGTAACTCAACATAAAGAGTTATAAATAACGTATCACATGGAACTTAATGATACTCTCCAGTTGTCTCAAGCCAGAAACTTGGAGACTGATGAAACCGAAACCTTTTAGAGCATAAAATATATTTCTTTCATTGTCTCTGATACGACAAAGGGAGCAAACCAATTATACTTCAAGTATATTAACCTTCTGGGAACTTTCTCAAGTGCTTCTTAGCTTCAATACTGGAAAACACTTGGTGTTAAAAAGGGTTGCCATTAAAAGGCGTTTTAAGAGTTGCTTTGTTGGGGTTACACGCTTAATGGCTCCCGAAATAGAATTTTGTGAGCTAGATTTATTAAAACAGAATTAATGCAAGCTTCAGTTCAACTTGCTCCGATGGCTTCAGCTTTGCTTTCTCTTCGCCCACGCGGTGTGTTTTAAATGAAACTTAGAGGCTTAGAGAGATGAGTCACTGAGTGATTGATCTAATTTCTCTCCGTTGACCTGCAATTGAAATCAATACTTATCTATGCAGCTTAGTAAGGCTAATTTTTTCGGACCATTGCGCAGAGGTGTTTCATGAACTTTCCTGATCCAATTTATTTCTGCCTTAAGGGGTCATCATTAAACAGAAATGATGAGTTATATTTCCATTGTTATAAAACGTTCTTAAAATTGATTCGGCCAATGGATAATGGAAGCCATGCTGAGAGAGGTCGAGCCACCCTACATACAGTTAGGAGGATCTGAAGTAGCGAGTGTGATATGGAAATCAACATGCAACAAGATAAAACGTAATACGTGAGGCAATCAGGAGTGGTTATAGAGTCTCCACAGACTACCCCTAATCTGAGGTCCTTTTAATTCATACACCTCTTCGCTTGCCAGGTTAACTTAGAGCGAGTACACTTTTCTCGACTTTATCGAATCATACGTAATTGGTCAGGATTGACGAAAGTTCACCTGAGCGAAACCACAAATAATTACTTTTCCATTTATAATCAAGATCTTTGATCCTTAAGTAGAGCCGCTAATTGCAATAGTTATTCAGAGAGATGGTGCTCCTATCAAACTCAAGTGACACAAACTAAAAAGCAACAAGAAAGATTATGTTAAAAGTTTTCATGTTGCTTTTTTTAAGAATACTCATTTTGTCAACTGGTCTGGAGTCCAAGAATACAAACAGTGCAACTCAATACTGATAGAATTACGTCCAATCTTATGTTTGCGCAACAAACATTCCATCCGAGCACTTTGAAGTCCTCGATTTGTCTGGGGTGAATGCTATCAGCCAATAGGCATCCCCGAATTGTTTCAAACCGATGATGAGTTGTAAGTGTTTTGAGTGAAGGCCCAAGTGTTTAATTTGCCACAACATTTAGCGTTCATGAGCCTCTCAGATCGTCTGGCCTGCTAAATTAAGTTTGCATTGCTTGGATGCAGGTAAAGAATCTTCTTAGAATTTGAGGTACTCGTTATTTCATTCAGATAGATGAATCATTGTAAGCATATTAGTGTCAAGAAGTCTTTTCAACCATAGTTCTTAAATGCCGTCCATTTAGTACAACTGACTGTTTATAATGTGCGGACTTTCAGAGACTGATAGCCAAGAAGCGTAATATATGACTCTGAGTTTACCAAAAAGCTCTCAGCGTTTTTGACTTAACTTTTATGAAATGATTATGACTGAAACGCAAAGCAACGCAATGAATTACAAGAACTGAATTTGAAATGGTGAGGGTCAAACCGATAAGAACACACTGTTGTTTTCCAAGAGCCCTCTCAAGATTCAAGTAGCAATAAAGATCTTTAACTGTAAGAGGCTTAAATCGATCTAAACGTTCCTAATCCTGACTTTTAAAACCTGACTGTATCTTTCCCCTAAATATTGATTGACATTGCAAAGTTAAACTTCGTTTCCGCCATTTCCATTTTCAGATTTCACGCCTAACCCGTTGTTTATCATTTTGGAAAAGCCTGAATCATGCGCAAACGGAAAACGAGCCATCAACCCAATTTCAAGGCTGCACGAGTGGTAGTTCTCGGACAGGACGGTGTAGGAAAGTCAGGTGAGCTGGTTATATGCAACAACTTCTGTGAACGTGCCATACTGTTTTTTATCACTTGGCAGGAATGTTAACTGCCACTATCTTATCAGTAAGTGTGATTTTTTTATCGAGCTTCATTTCGACTTTTTACTATAAAAAGCAATACGCACTTGAAAGTTCAAGTGTTTCAATTTTCTTAATTGTGCTTTCGGTATAGTTCGCCCTCCATTAACACATTGTAGCCTGCAAAAATCTCAGATTTCGACCTGGGTTTTGTTATGCTATCAACTGAGTAATTTCCAGATTAAAGTTTATGCGCTAATAGATTTTTTTTCTCCATCGCGTTAGCTCTTCTCTAAGGTTACTCCAAAATAAATATTTAAGCTTCTTAAGTGTCTGTAATTGGATTTTGCGATATTCACCGTAATTAAAATTGATCGCTATTTTCATTTGCTAAGGTGCAATAATGCACGCGTTTATAATACGAAACCGTTTTATTAGCGATGATCGTTTTTTTGTTTATGTTTTCTTTCTTCATGAGATTAATTGAAATAAATAGTGCCTTAGTGAAGCCTTATTTATCTACATTAATCAATATTATTATTACTTTGAAGAGCATTGCTGCGCATTTTACGAGCTAAAATAGAGATTTTAGTGGGCTAAAGTGTATTTTAGCCCGCTCGCGTGTTCGCGTGATTGATTGCTCGGGCTGTTTTGTCGTCAATTTTTTTTCTTTCTTTTGCGGTTTTTATATGCGCAATGCCCTACATAGTGATATTGATAGCGATGAAGTTTTATTCTTGGGCATGAATATGTTTTCAGTCCTTCTCAGGGTCAGTTTACCACCTACCTACCGGCTCAGGAGAAAATGGCCCAGAGTCAAACCCAGAACACATTTATGCCCACCCAAGAACATAAACTCTATCGGCGTATATTTTTGAAACTAAAGGTTTGTTTGCTCCCGTTCAATTTAAACCGAATCATCAACAACCAGTCTAAATCAATCAATCGTCTAAATCTTTTGACCTGAAATGCAGTCAGGCAACTCCAGGGAAACATGCTCAATTAAAATGCAACCAACATGATTCAATAGGAGATAAAGGAAAATTTTTGCTCCGCTGTCGAACATGGCCTGACTCTCCAACGAATTCTCTGTAGCTCGATGAAAGAGCATTCAACCGCGGATTTCAAAGATCTGGCTTTTGAATCCTTGATGAGAGAAACTCATACTTCTTCCTTTATCCAACGCTAGTGACGAAAAATCACTTCAGCAATATTTTTTGCGAGCCGTTTAATCTTATCTTCAAATAACAGTTACTGTTCGGTAGTGCCTTCGTGTTAATTAACAATTTTCGTATTTACTGACTATCTATTTGTTACGTAACAACTGAATTGATGGGCCAAAACAAACTTTGTGGCCGGAAGTTTATAAAGATGAAAAGATAACATTAACTTTGCGATCGTTTTTAAGTCCGAATTTTGGCTTAGTTTGCGTCATCAAGAAACAAAACTATGTTTTCAAAATCATATTTTCCAATCACAACGTTTTCTCAAATTTTGATTGAACATTTATGTTCGGGTCAAATTGGCTAATTGATTGCGAAAAATGAAATTAACATGACAAGGGCCGGAAAAAAATTTCCCTAGTTTTTACAAGCCGAGAATGTCGACATGAGCAAAACAACTCTATTATATTCAGTTCATTGAACTTGTAAGAGTTGATCAAAACATTTTGGAGAAATTTATTCTGTAGACAAAACACTAGTCCACTATACCTCACCTAAATGTTTAATCTTGACGATAATAAGATATGAAAGGCTGGCTGGGAAATCAGTAAAAGTTTCACTCTCCAAATTAAAATAATTGTCTTCAAAGGGATCCATTATGGATCTTGCAGCCAAAATGTCAAAAGAACAAAAGCTACTCATGAACTTTGCAGAGTTTTACTGAACTACTCGGTTTGTCGGCCTCTTATTTCGTCAAGTTAACAACTATTGGATCTTTCAAATTCGTGTTGAAGTGAACTGTCCTAATGTTCAACCATTCTTCAAACTCTAAAGAGTCTATTCACCTTTTCAAGCTGTACTGAAAGTGCATCTGAGGCTACTTCATATTGCTAAGTTAACTGATTTTCTTTTTTTCATCTTAGCTGCTTTTTACAAGCTTGTCTGATTTATTCTTTTCTATTGGTTACTTTGCAGCCCTCATTGTCCGTTTTCTTACAAGAAGGTTTATTACAGAATATGACCAAACGTTAGGTAGGTAGAACTGATTTATTTCCATTCGTTGAATTTTCGAGTCATTTTGATGAAACTTTGTTTGAACGAAAGAAAGGCAACATTTTTTTGAACGGAATAATTTTGGTTAAGTAAGGGTATTCCACCAGTGTCATGATTGCAATTTCTGTTTACTTCTCAATAATCACGTAGATATATCAGCGATTGGTCCAGAAAAACTTGCGCCACTTTCTTAACAAATCAGATTCAAAAGAAAACCAATCACGACTTGGTCACCTACGTTTTCCCGCGCTTTCGCGGGCAGAATGGTTGTTTCACCTGTAGTTCGTATTGGGTCTTAAAGTTATTTCTTTTCTTCTGATCGGCCACTGAGATTAGTCTGATTTTGCCTTCAGCCATTCAATCGATAAGCGCTCTGATGGATAGGCTCGATTTCCGGCGCTACCTCGTGTCCGGTCTTCGCTCAACCCCGAGGGGAGGAGCGCGGGCTCATATTCCCGAGCCTATCTGATACACTGTACGCTGATACACTGATACACTGTCTATCTCGATATAATCCAGCCTATCTGATACACTGTATAACTCATTGGGCTCAAATAATATCCTTCTCATCATATTTCAACTTCAGAATCAACATGGAGACACCACATGGAAGTGGATAATGACTTCATCTATGTTGATTTAATGGATACGGCTGGAGAGGTAAACTATCGGGAAACTTTTCATAACTAACAACTCAGTTTGAATTATCCAGTCCCGAATCAATTATGAATTGAAAAAAAGTAATAATAACAAAGAGTTACTTTGGTGGAGCAGTGAAGAACTAAAACAACGGAATATGTTATGCAAATAAATAAATAAGTGGAACGTTTTCTTTTATCAGGTTGTTTTAACTTACTACTGCCGTTGGAATTAATCATTTTCTGGATTAATTTCTAATGACTCTAGATGCATTATCAATTTGTTTCATTCGAATAGTATGAGCAACAGAGAGGCAGAGGCATCTGAGCTGCAGTCTGAAAAATCATTTTCAAAATTTAAAAATTTTGCTTAATTCAAATGCATACTTAAAGATGACATAGAAATACAACATTTCGTGTGTAAATCAAAGTGAACTGGAGCACCAGATGTGAGCCAAAGAGATAGTCTTAAGCTTGACAGGCTTGGCGTAAGATCCTCCGACTCTTAGTCAACCAAAAGTGGTATCTTCCGAATTTCAATACCTTATCAGCTTTTTTTTCCTACTTTGCAGAATTCAGAAGTAAAGTTGAACAATTGCCTCACTCGTGGAGACATATTCCTCGTACTATACTCCATCACCGATCGCTCGAGTTTCCACGAAGCTGCTCGTATTGGAAGACACATCCGGAGACGAAAAACAAACGGAAATTCGGTGATGATAATTCTTATTGGTACAAAAAGAGATTTAGAACATTTTCGAGAGGTGGATGAAACAGAAGGCAGCGATTTGTCTCAAGAACTTGAATGTCCGTTTTACGAAATTTCCGTTGCTTCAAGCGACGGATACAAAGAGGTGTCGGAGATGCTCTCAGGATCGGTCAGACAGTACCTACGGCATGAAAAAATCGGCTCTAATGATAAACGGAACCAGCCTTCTTCGTTGTCGAAGATGAAAGAAGGACTGATAAAGAAAACGGGATCTTTTCGTAGGAAATCTGTGACGTTTTGAGTTGTAAAGGTGGTGCATTTTAGCTTTACGAGGCGGATTGATGCAAAAGTTTTGAGGACCACAACAACAAGAAACTGTTTTGGTTCTCCGTCTATTGTGGTCGGACAGAAGATCTGCCTGAGCGAGCCTTAACGCCGGAAAATCATCTCCAACGAAGATGCCCCCTTTAGCTTCACTGTGAAGTGACTTTATCTTCCTCGCGTTCATTAAGCCTCATTCTGAGACATCAGGAATAGTCATTTTCTACACCATGTTTGTGAGACATAGAGTAAATACTCAGGAATGACGCTCGACGAATCACGCTATGATTACGACAAGCGTGCATTCGTGATACTTATCGACGGATACCTTTGGCGTAATATCAGGACACGTGCGCACGCGATAAAAAGTGCTAAATAAACTATTGAGTAGGAAAAGTTATTGTATAAAGTTGATCGCTCAAGACTTTAAAACGACTTTAAAACTAGCAAACACGAAGGTGACGTTCCACAGAACCTACTTACGTGACTTATAAGTTTTCTACCGTGTGATGATCATCCATAGAAAAGAATAAATAGAGTGTTTCCAGAACCAAACAAGATCAGAGGGGTAGTAAAAGTATTAGAAATCTTTCTTAGGGATCGAGAGGCGTATTTTTGTGTCGGTGGGAAATTTACTAAAAGGAAAAAACCGAACGATATCAGGGCTACACCCGAGAACCATAGCTTGTCTCCCGCTTAAACGTTCCCAAATTTATCGAGGTGAAGAATTGACTGGGATAGAGCCATCTGCCCGAAAATGTATGACTGAAATCTGCCAAACCCTGGTTGAGAAAATCTTTGGGCACCAAACTGAGTACCTCGCTGATATAGGAAACAATTTTTTTATCACAGCACTACATTTGAGAAGGAAGCGGGAAAATCTTGCTTCAACTATTTCAACTAATATGGAACTTCCATTCCCAGCATTGACTTTAATCGCGAAAGGACTGAACCTCTGTATAGACCTTCTTTCAAAAGTATGAAACGTTGAAATAACTTTCGTTTTAGAACAACCAGGGAGAATCTAGAAACAACCATCCACTGTTATGAACGTGAACATTACATAAAGCTTTTTTAATTGTTCCTCACTAAACGTTTCATAATACACGGAAAATATGTCACGCTTCTCACGGAGGAGCGGATACCCTGAGTTCATGGCCAACATCGGAAAAATCTCCATAGCAGTAAAGCGTACATGAAGATTCCGTAACCTAGTTTCAATTTATTTGGAAACTTTAGTTGTCAGAACGGCAACACCTAAGAAAACGTCCATTAAAAGATGATTTTATGTTCTTAAAAAATTACGCGAATCTTTACCGTCTCCGTCAAGGGCGCCAGACTTCTACTTAGCCCATGATATCATATGTGAGAAGCTATGAGTTCCAAATTGAAAGGTGAATAATTCTCCGGCGGTCTACCTTACTCACACCACGCAAACCTAAGCAAATTTTTGTTTTGCCGAAGACGGCCAGGAAATCTGAAAAGTTAAAGAACACACGTGCTGGACCATTGTTCTACTCAATACTGTTTTCATTCGCCACGATCTTATTGCCTCTCCCGTCTCTCTTTCCTCGAGATCTCTCAACGTCTTTGGTTTTCAAATAATTTTACTATAACCCATTAAAGATAATTCAGTGAGATTTTTACAAAATATAATCACATTTTTATTTCCGCTCTTGTGGCGATAATAAACAGTGTTTTAACGACCTTAGATATCTACACTTCTCATTTTTCCCCTTGAATTGAGAATGACGTGAAGCAACGTCGAAACTTTGTCAAAATTTTTTTCCAAACAGTTTTTAGAATATTTGGTATATTTTAATTTACAGCGTTGAACTTTGCATCCAGTGTTTCTCCAAATCTTCTCTTGGAAAAGTGTAGTGAAAGACTAATCAAATGCGACTCGATGTTATTTTACAGTTGGGAAGTATACCCATGGAGACAAAATCATTCTCTTAATAAATTTTTATTACTTTAAATACTTTCACTCGTCATTTTTACACTTGACTTGATAATGACATGAAGCGATGTCGAAATGTCATCAAAATATTTTACAAACAGTCTTTGGAAGACTTTAGGCAATTTAATAATGTTCTATTGTTGAACTTCACAATTGAATATTTGCAATATTTGAAAGTATCAATCCCTATAGAAAGGTTGTCAAAGGCAGGAATTAAAATAACATCCCACATTGCATATGGAGACATTACTCGATGCAAGAGCGCACCAAATAATTATTTCTCTCTTGCTAGAAAGCGGAAGAAAAATAAAGTTCACTTTTGTTAGAAGATGTCCTGTTTCCACGCGAGAAACATGTGAAGCTGGTATTCAAAGTATCAAAACATTTTCAATCAAGGAGGCACAAAACCGACACACTTTTATCGTTCGTGGGATCAATAAGAAAATATTTCCATTTGCTCCTTCGAAAATGGATTCTTACGAATTTCCAACCACAATTAAACAAATCAAAGACTTTTTCCGAGTAAATTAAATATGTTTCGATAGCAACATCAAAGCCTTTAAAAAATTTTCCTCAGGGAAGAGTCGTCTTTATCGCTCGGGGAGGTGAGGGATTTTTTTGGGCGGAGGAATATCATGGTTCTCAGAAGGAAAGGGAGGGGAGGTCAGTCGTCGCCAATAGAGTATAAAGGAAGACTATAGAAAATTGACTGCCAATGAAATGCCAATGAGGGGGGGACGGGATAATAGGAACTTTACGGAACCCTATAGGGGGAGCAGGTAAATTGTATCGTGATACAAATAAAATCCCACGACCCCCTCCCCTTAAGCGATAAAAATGACAGGTCAGTTTATCTATGACTGTGTTTGATTTTTGTTTAACCTTTGTCACTGCATTCACCAAATAAAATCTCAGTCTGAAAAAAAGGCCATGTTCTACAAGTTCCTTGTACAACACGCACTTGGGTGGAATTTCTGCGATGCTATTTCTGATTGCGTGGCAGAAATCGTTGAGGTGACTGTGTGCCGCACAGGGGACTTTTTTATCCTAGTTACACGACAGCTTGAGAGGCACCTGGTTCGAGTGAGGCAGAGAAAACTTTTGGCCAATCTCTTGTAAGTGGTTTTGAACTCTTGATTCAGCCATCCATAGATGAGCGGATTCAATGCGGAGTTGGAGTAAACAAGGCATGTCACAAAAGCGGCGTAAAGATAAGGAACAGCTTCTTGTTTGAAAGTTGTTGAAAGAATGCTGACGAAGAATGGAATCCAACACAGGTAAAACACACCAACGACAATCGCTACAATTAAAAAAAAATGTAGGTTAGATAAGACTGTGGAACAGATTTTCATGATAGCTCATTGATGCGAAATGTCAAAAGGTAATCTCGCTTACCCGCCGACCCGCCGAAGAAGCAGCGGAGAGTTACTGTGCACTGTGATCTTTTGTAATCAATTTAGAGCGCTTTTCGATTGAGTGTCGTTTAACCAAAACCAAAGAAAATCAGGAGGAAGGAAAATACCTTTAGAGTAAATACCTCAAAGTAAAATCAAGCAAATTGCCTAAAGCGCAGGAAAACGCCGGCGACCAACTCGTAATTGCTTTTAGCCTTGCATCTGATTGGTCGAGAGAATGGTGCAAGTTTTCTACGCCAATCACGGAGCGAAGGAAAGCAAAATCACAGCAATCTCGGATTACTTTCGACATTATATGGACAATTGTTTTATAAAGAACATTTTCCATTCCAGTTGACAAACGTAACCTTATTTATGACGATAACTTTCCAGGTCCCGTCGAAAAATCCACCGTGAAAAACAACAGAATTAACTCTACATTTAATTCTTCAACTATCGCGGGCTATCGTGCAATGATTACTTCGATAAAATTAGGCAATTTCCCGTCGTTTTTGTTTCCACTTCTTCTGAAGGGTCAAGGGGATTTACTTGGTTTGATTTTACGAAACTCTATCGAAATGCACCCCAAAAAACTCGTAGATTTACGAGAAAAAAGGAAAATTCATAAAATACAGATTTTTGCACCTTACCTATAGTCTTAGCGGCTTTTGATTCTCGTGCGAAACGAATCGGTCTTGGCGAGTTCATCGGTCCTCCATTATATGTTGAAAGTTCCTCTATGTACATCCTCAGTGAAGTAATCCGTCGCGCCTGACTGCGTGCCAGAAGAAAGATCTTTAAGTATGCCGTGGTTATGAGTACAGTCGGTGTTGCGCAAATGAAGGCAAAGTAAAGCCCCATGTAGCTTTCTTCCAAGATGTCAGAGAAGCAACATGGGCGTCCAAGATGTTGAGTTTTCACCGATTTTGTACCGACGCCTGACAACGGCAAAAAAGCAACTGTGAATGCAGTCAGCCATACCATGACGATTCCAAAACACACCTTTGGAACCGTCATAAAGCTGTTGTATCTCAGAGTGTAGGATATCGCCAGACATCTATCAAATGCGACGGTAACAAGATTCATCAGACATGCACTCAACACGAAGAGAGTTAGGGAAATTGTCATGTCACACCACATGAATTTTCTCGCCCGATGAAGAGACATCAGCTCTACGATTTTAACTGGAAGTAGGAATAGCCCTACCATTAGGTCGGCGACTGATAGGGATAATATCAGAATGCATTCTGGGCTTCGTAAGCGAGAGTTGGAACGAATGGACACAAGAACCAATAGGTTTCCTGCGATTATTACGATAGCCAATAAGATGAATACCACAATGATGATGGTAATGTGAGGGCTAAGAATCAATGACACTCTCTCATTGGCTGGGTATAAGTTTGTTCCACTTGTTTTGTTCGCTATTGAGAAGTTAAATTCCATATTTAAGGAGTCTCTTCTGATTCAGCGCAGCGCCCCGCGTTGCGTCATAGAGTGTCATGGGGGGAATAACGCAATAATTTTTCAAGAAAAAGCAAATGAACGGTCAGGGATCCTCTGGAAAATCGAAATCCATTAGCTGTACACCTGAAAAATTCAAAAACAAGAGAGTAGGAATTAGAAACAAAAGCTAGTTTTTGATGACATGGGCAGAAATCAAGAGACTATATCTCTCGCTGAAATGTGATGAAAATTTTCTTTAAAAAACTACAACCATGGTAAATTATGCTAAAACTAAAATTTACAAGATAGTGTGGCAAATTTAGAAATTAAATTTTTATCTAGATTTAAATATGTATTCGTCTTTCGGAAATTGTTAGAGCAACCATTCCAAATCGCGCATAAAGAGACTTGCCAGGTGGTAAATTTACCCCGAGGCGGAAAGTACCGAAAACAGGCTCGTTTGTTCTGTTCATTTTGCCGCAGGTGGGACTTCGTGTTAATTGGGCGCCATCGCATCGTTTTTTGTTTCCTTTTTGGCAGTTCTTTGTAGATAAACAGCAATTGAAAATAATGTACTTTTACTAGTACATGAAAGCTTATACATCATGGATATCATGCTGAGAGGACAGATCCATACAAACTGACATCAGCGATTTAAATAACATTCAGTTTATGCTCGAGGGCTGTCTTTTTTTTTTTTCAAAAAACCTTTAAGATCTCAAAGCTTCAAGATCTCAACAATTAAGATCTCGACGAATTTGAATGCTTTAAGGGCAAAGATAACGAAATATATGCGAAAATATATAGGAAAAATATTTGCAGTTTTTTTTTCTCCTTTGCGATTGAGGCAGTATCCTCGTGCGGAAAAAAACAAAATGACTTCAGAAAAAAGGCTGACCCTTTGCTTTTCCCTTAAGTACCGAAAAGTAAAACAGCATTTTTTCTTTTGTACAAATTTAATTTGATAGTAATATGGGCAAAATGCTGGAGAGCGAAAGCGCTTGGAATTTACTTGCTAATAATTCAATTTTACATGCACATTATAAAAATTTACTCCTACTACATGGAGAGAAGGAAGGAAACAGTTACTAATATAAAGTTAATATCACTATAGACAAAATATACTGACTGGAAAAGAACGTATGTCTTTGCCGATCTGAACGCCTTGCTTCAACCATGAACTTCATACACCCCCAAGTAAAACAAGAAAATATTAGATATTTGGACAAAAAATTTAAAAACGACTAAAGACGTGTTATTTATGATGCATCGAAACGAAGAAATTTAACGGATGCATGTTTCAGCGTGTAGCTCACGTGCCAGTAACTGAATGCCGTGGATCCTAAAAATTTATAGATTGCTTTCAAAAAATAATGTTCTTTTTTATTACCGTGAGACAAAATACCGCGATTTCTGTTGGCACCTTACTTACATTTGTATGAACTCCTTTCACAGCCAGAGGTAAGCAAAGAAAAAAAAAGATCGCGAAAAGGAAAACAAAAGTGTTTCAAAAGGTGTTTTACTTACCATCGTTTCGCACTGTTTCAACTTCCCACAGTGTTAGCTTGTTGTTTACGCCTCACGTGAGGAAATGTCAAATGCGACGTGTGCCGCCCCCTCGCACGCCCCTCGTGCGACATCGTCTGAGCTTGCATTAATAAAGCGGGCTTCCATTTGCTTTTTATCCTGTCGGCGAACATCTAAAAAGTGTTTTAAATTTAATGACACTCAGGAAGAGGGGGAGGAGGTTTTATATTGAAGAGATCGGGTAGATTGCAATTTTAAGGATAGAAATAATTGATCCTGACACACATTTTGCCAACTGAGTATTACAAGGTGAAGAATTGAAGAGAAAGATTAAATCTACTATAGTAGCTACGGACCAAGGTTTTTCCTACATTTACACACAAATTGTTTTAAAAGAGCTTATTCATACGGCTTAAAGATTATTTTTCCTTTATCTAAGACCATTGGACATCCATTAGTGAAAAACCGTGTCAAACCATACAAACTGTTCATTGAAAAAAATTAATATAAGTACGTTACATCGAGAACTTCTAGTTCACTTTAATGCTTTAGAGCTTCAGTTATCCGAAAACATTAAATTGAAATATTTATACCCAGAAGCAGGAAATTTTGAGGCGTAAGCACTTGAATGAAAAAAATATTATATCTTCCCTGATCCGGTTGAGTTTGTTTGCAAGGTAGCTCGACATAAGCGGTTTTATTTTGTTCCGGAAATTTAAAAGGATGTGCAGATTAATTTCGAAAGCGACCATCATCAGTTTATCCGAGCAAACAATATTTCCGTCTCTCAACTTTTTTTTTCTTTTCTTTTTTTTTTTTTTTGGCTCGATTCCGAGAAATAAATTAAAATAGGCTACGAGATTGACAGAAAATTTGAAAAAATTTCATTAGCGATTTCCTTTTTTTTTTTCTCGCCTCGATTCAATGAGGTTCACTCGTGACCTCTTTAATTCGTAACCGTACTGAAGGGATATATATGTACAGTTGGCATTTGCCAGAAATAGTAAAATTTGCTGCGAGAATATATTTTTATTACTCTCCAAGAAATTTCTTGTTGGTTTATTAGTCAGCATTTACGCGAGGGACATGCCACATAAACTTGTTTTACTGCATTTTATCTTAAAGATCTGATATCTTCCTCGAAAACACCACCACGGGGGTCAAAAATAAGGCACATATATCTAGTTAATCTACTCTAACGTGTGTAAGTGCGTTATTTGGTTTTTGCAAAGACAAGTAAACAACTTGAAAGAGGTGATTGCCCTCTATTCTTTAGGAGGACGACAGCAAAATCGGTTCACAGAAAATAGATTGAAGACTATAAATAAACAAAAGCAGAACTGAATTCGTGAATCTAACTCAGCCGTTCGAGTGGGCTTTTTCATCAGCGTCATACGAAACTAAATTCTGATATGCCTCTTCATCATGAGTTATCAATCGAAAAATGGAACTGAAATATACAGTGACAAACAAGCTCTGTTCAGTTCTTGGATGCAGGACAGGGCTGCCTTGCAAGCAATGACTCCCTGCAAGCATATGTTTATTATTATTTGTAAGTGCACTTTATACCGGAAAAAGAAAGCAAAGTTGAATGTTAAAAGTTGAAAGGTGGAAAAGACCTCCATTACGTAAACCGGATGGACAGACGAATATCATCTTTCAAAAAATTTTCCTTTTCGTGTATGCAACAAATACAATGAAATCAGAAAGCAGGTTTAGGTTGTTGTCTTTTTTGTTAGGAAAGTTTTTTAGGCTGAGGAAGGTTTTCAAGGAGAATTTTTCTTTTTCTTTCTTCCATCGCAAAAAGGTCATGTAATCTTTTATCAATCATCTTAAATTATTTCATTTACTCGCCTTGACACTTGGCAAAGATACTTACATTAATTCATTTACTCGTCTTGAGACTTGGCAAAGATCAAAGTTCAAGTTTCTTTTCTTTCCCGTACGCAATACATTTTGTCGCGCTTTATTTCAAGTTTTCAGTTGCAACTTCAGAGAGAAAAAATGTTTTGCATGCTAATGAACGACGGCAAGCTCAGACATAAAACAGCTAAAGTTTTAAAACATCTACATGGCGACGCCTGGTGCGGGTCAGAAGAGATGGGTAATGTCAAGAGAAAAAAGTATTGCTCTCCCTTCCAAACACAGCTGTTCTGGGTTTTTTCGGAACATAGGTTATATCAGAAATATTTGAAAATTAAACCAGTCGGTTACGCCTGGTGCGGGTCAGATTGCTCTCCCTTCCAAACACAGCTGTTCTGGGTTTTTTCGGAACATAAGTTATATCAGAAATATTGCAGCTTATTATCCAACTGCACAAAGTAGAGTCAGAAGCCCAATTCAACTGCACGAGGTAAAGTCAGGAGCCTTTGCATAAGTAATGGACATGGTAGAGTACAAATAACACGCGTATCAAGTGCAGAAATCACGCGATATTTGGGAAGTTTGTTATTTTGTTCTTTGAAAATTAAACCAGTCGGTTACGCGTGCTAAGCTTATCAGTCTACTTCGCCTTTCTCGCCTCATGAAAAAATGCTCATAAAATTTAACAGGTGGACCATAAATAACTAATTAGACGTTTTGGTGTGTAGTATCGCTGAGTATTTTTACTCACTGGGTATTTTTTCCACACCAAAACGTCAAAAAAAGATATATTTATGTAAAAAGGGCCAATAGTTGGTAGATGTGAGTTGCATCAGACAAGATATACAAAGGAAAAAAACATATTTTTAGGCAATTTATTCAAACAAATAAAAGGTCATGAAGAAGTGTAAAGAAATATTTTAATCTTGAACATCCTCGTTCCCCTCTGACGTCACGTCTTTCTCATCTCCAGACCCCGTGGCACTGCTCGTGTTCTCTTCCTCAGATGGCGGGGTTTTCCCACTTCTTTGACACGGGCATGGTTCGGGACAGGGATCCGGACAGCTGCCTTGATAAGGAGCCTGGAAACGAATAAATTCAGTTAAAAAAAATTCCAAATTTAGTGTCGAAAGTTATTCAGGATTGCTTAGTTTTGTAACACTAAGGGATGTGATAAGTGCAGAACATTCGCGCCACCCTCTCGACCAATCAAAAAGCGAAACTAACACCAATCGTGTTGCTTCATGAAATTGCACAGATGCTTGAAAACGTTTCTTTTCAAGTTTTTCGACTGTGGACATTTTTTAAAATCTAAAAGGTTTTTTATACGAAAATCGTTAGAATGATACATATAAACTATTTAGTATTCGCGTAGTTTAACATTTTTTGAATAATGAAATCCGTTTGAATACTGAACATCAATAAAGAACAAAAAACTGTAGTACCACCTCTTTTTGTATGAGTTTGCAAGCATGTATTGCCAAGGAAAACGAAGGCATTCTATTGTGGTATGCTGGAAAGCTGCCATCCCTCTGGAAATTCTTTTTTAACAGGCCTCTCCAACGGTTGCCCCTTAGAGCGTCTTAAGAGCTCACACTGTCTCATTTTAGTTTTTTTTCGGTTAGCTTATTATGAGGTTTTACTAACCGTATATGTGGCTGCGTAGGGATCGTATGGATAATAGATGGGCGCACGTGCAGGGGCTGGTAATGGAGCTGGAGCAGGAACCGGCGCGCGGACTGGCGCAGAATTAACTACATGGGCTGGATAATAGGGATTGTAGTATTGTTGCCCAGGCTGACACGGACAGGGAGAATAACAGGGGCTTGGGCACCTAAAATAAGCATCTCTGTAAGCGAGATGCCAACCAATTCTTGTGTCTGTGAATGGTGAACTGACAGGGGGAGGGTGAGGAGCAGGTGGTGCGTTACTCTTAGCTTCTGCGCAGTTCAGATTGTGGTATTCCACATTGGCGTCGTGAAGATCTTTCTCAGTTCCTGAATGAAAAATGTATGGGGAGATCTAAATAGATATCAAAGTGTATATAGACGTTTTTGTCATTTCAACACACGTAATTATTGCAGGTCCAGTTGCGAATCCTGATCTGGGTTAATCCTTTAACGCCCACGATCTGGTTTTCGACTCTCCCCTCTAGCTTCTGCACATTTCCCTTTAAATGAGTTACAAGAATTTGGTGTTAGATCAAGATAACAACTTCTGCCTGATGAGTTTTAGTATTCTCATTACCTGTTTGCTGGGTAATGTATGAATTCTATTGGGAGAAGTTACAAGTTAATCAATTTTAAGGTTTAATTAGCAGGCAGGGCTCTTAGTCAACACCAGCTTCACCTTGGGAGTATTTCATCCTAGCTTCGTATCCAGACCTTTCATGGCCAAGCAGTTACAGTTACACGGTAGGATCTGGTTATGAGATTACTTTCTTCCTCTTAGAAATGTGAAAGGACAACGGTGACTGGTCGTGGAAACCCTAGAAACTTATATAGATGGGGAAGGGGAGGTAGGTGCCGTTATTTTGGCTACAATTTAGAAGGAATCTGCTAGTGGAGCAGAAACCGGGAAAAACTGCAACAACAATGGGTCAATTGATGGGTGCGTTTAACACAATCTTTACAGCGCACAAACTTATGAAAAATCAACTGAAGAATACGATATTCTATGCGTTTACCTGGTATCATCATTCCATTGTCATAGACACACCAACACTTAGAGCGAGAATAAGCCTCACATTGATACTCCCTGTAACTACCGTCCAGGTTACAAACCGGTTTAGTCCAGTCAGGCTGGTTTATCCTGCGCCGCATTTCACAATCAGATTCCGGTCGTGGGTAACAAGGAATGTGATAACCATCACAACCGGCCGGGTAATAACTCACATACTGACGGCGATGGCCTAGGTGATTTATTGGGGTGCCTGATATGAAGGAAAGAAACAGCATCGTTATTTGACAATTATTCACCTAGGCGAAGGTGAATATCCACCATTTTTATCAACACTGAGGTAAATAATTGTATTAGCATATTCCACAAAGGAACCAAAAAATTAGTCTATTTCTGTCAATATATCTACAAATGGCTAGAAATCCAACTTTTGAAGCGCAATTTTGACTGTTCGGCTGCTCAGAAGAGGATAGTGCTTCCTAATCTCTTTCAATCAACACGCACAAAAACACTGCCAGGATTTGATTAAATTTCATACTACAAAGTTTTATCAAGAAAGTACAGTAAGTCTATCTACCTCTAAGTTGAAATTTAAATGATGAATTTTACATCAATATAAATACATGTAAATCTTCCGTAAAATGCAAAGAGTCAATCATTCTCTGGTGAAAACCTACAACGTAACACGTGATGATACGGTTATTTGAACTTGAACATTTTGTGAAATTAATTTTATCTGATATTTCACTCAGCTAATCAACTGTTTCACTGGAATAATCAAACAAGAGTAACTTTCAACCGAAAGTCTTCGGAATTAACGGATTTGTTATATCACATCTCAAAAATATTTATAATCTTTTTATTATATTGTTGTCTGTTGAAATATACCGACAGTAAAAAAATTGTGACGACATAATCATGATCGGAAAGTGCGTTAATAATTCTCAGCCTTTTTTATCACATCAAATTGGCCCCTGAATGAATTTTGATTTGCCTTTTGCCTGCCTTAAGGATCTCTAGGTCGAGAGGGAAGCGGACCGTCTCTCTTGCGATACTGTCAGCTATGTCAGATATACCACGCTTTCTTGACTCAAATTAATTGGTTCAGCCGTCCGAAACTTACCCAAAACTCCATAAAAGATTAGAGAAAGTAAAATGGCTGTCAGTTCCATTCGAATTCCTCGAGCTCTCAAGTGTATAACCAAGTAAAAACACAGGCAATTTTTTTTTTAAAATAAAACGCGCCTGTCACAATTTTGTACCCGCCCAGGTCATTTCAAACACCTATAGGCCAATAGTGGTCAGCGTTTGTTTGCGCGGTCCTAAATTTGACGCTTTGTACCCTCAGCTTTTTGGAAAATCTGACAGATTAAACTGGTACACCAGCAAATTTGATCACCTTCTGGTTTGACATACTTTTAATCTCAATTCTCTCAATTCCATGGATTTGACCGCTCTTCGACTTAAGATTTTCGCCCTCGGAATTATTTTTTGTTAAATTCATTTATAATAAAGTTCGGATAAAACGCGCACTGTCATTGGTTAAAAGAGCATGCTCTATCAGAGTACAAAACATAGAGCTGGGCTAAAGCTGCCACGCCATCTGCCAAATTGTACTATGTCTGACCTTTTCCGGGCCTTCTTTCTAGCTTTTTTCGTTAATCGAAAGTAAAATTTCGAAACAAGCGAGCCGGCAATTAGCAACAGAAGAACCAAACAAAGATTTATAAACATACTAAGCGCTATATATCGTGAGCAGAGACGAAAATCTTCATACAGATAACGAATCGGATTGTCCGAGTTTTGACGGTTTTCGCGCCCATTTAGATTGCAAGATTACAAACGTACTCAAGAAGTGGGGAAAAACACTCGACTACGAATATTAACATGAGCAGGTCACAAAAAAACCTCTACATTTCACAGACTTGTGACTATTTCTACACCATCATGGGGCATCTTGCTCTGCAATTAACAGTGGCCCAGTCCTAACTGAGGATTAGCAGGTAATTTAGGATTAGTGACGTTTCGAGCGTTAGCCCTTCGTCAGAGCGATTAGATTCGATAGATAGATTAGATTAATCGCTCTGACGAAGGGTCACTCTTTATCTAATTTACGTTTTCAACCCAGTTGTTAACACTAAATTACCTGCTCTACTCTCCCACCGACGCAGCACCACAGTTTTTTTAGAAACTTACCCCTTCTAACTGAGGATTAGTCACATTAAATTTTTTAAAAGCTGTGTATGACAAAGTCAATCAATTGTCAATTAATCTACAATAGATTTCAGCAGACACATATCTAAGTTTTATCTTTTCTATTGAGATTACTTTTCTCAGGATATAGAGTTGCCCCTCGCACCATTGATAGATATGGTGCTGCCCTTAGAAGGGACTATCCAAGTAGCTTGGATAAAAAGTGAAAGCATCACTCATTACATAAAACTGGGAACTGATTAGTTGTACTAGAGGAAGAGTCAGTTTGCTGTTTACCTGAAGATCTTATTAAGACCAAAATAATTTGATCTAAAACTCTTCTTTATATTCCAAGTGTTTCAAGCTACTTCTTCTTGATGACTTCCACAACATCTACACCATGCAGATGCCAGAAAGCAACCTAAAACTGTCAGTTACAACTCACATGACCTCATCGTTATGGATATTCAGGACTCCATTCAAGCCCTAAAGTTACCCGAGAACAGGGACATGATTCACCGTTCCCCTAATGTACTTATTGATGGAAGTACTACTAAAGCTTGCATGGGTGGCATTTCAGAAGAAAGCATTAATATAAGTGCCAAGAAGATGAAAAATGGCACTCTTCAAACTTGGAAGCTCCATGGAGATACCTCCAAGCATTTTGAGTCTATCACAACTAAGCACATGAAGTGCTCTGCAAACTAGGCACTTGCCTCTTAATAAATGGGCTTGAAAATCCCATTAAGTTTATGGAAGACTATAAGCTTGCTATCAACCATACCATAGAAAGTACTGGACTAAACCTGTTAACCTACATGAAAAAATGTCCTTCCCTGTCCTGAAGACTGGCCCACTCAGCACTTTATAAAGAAACTAATTGCCCAGCAAAGCAACATCCATTGATCCCAGAACAAGGCCCTTCCCATATGAGCTTTAATGCTGTGGAGGATATAATCTCAGTGTAACACTTCATTTTCATTTTTTTCAAGAGTTTACAACAAAGTTTTTACAAGTGTACTTCCTCTCAAACCCAAGCCTTAATCCAATCAAACTTAATAATTATTGGAGTGCTGTGTGGTTCGCTACTCATTAGAGATAAAATTCTACAAAAATTCAAATTATGTAAAGACATTGAGTATGTCTGCCTGCTGCACATCTTAGAGGAAGTACTTCCATTAGTCTTTTTCAATATAGCATGGTATTGAGATCTGGAAAGCTTGAAGATTATTAGTCCCTTATGTTTCGATTTCTTATACTATTCATCATCTGGAACCATCATCACTATGGCAGGTCTGCACTTTCAATGTTAAATGAACTGTGTCACCATAGAAACTACTTCCCTGACCACTATAACTTTAAAACAAAATGGTTGACACTACTGACTGAAACAAAGGTTGAAATTTGGCACACACTACTTCGGTTTCACATAACAGATTACTACAAGGCAGAACAGATCTGAGACACAGCTACTGACATTGCTTCTTCATAAACAACAACAATCTTCTTTGGTAATTTCATTCAACCTCACTTACAAACAAACTCTCCTAAAAACCTGAAATTAATAGCTGGGAAGTCAGCTGGGTCTATTTTGAAACTTTTTGCCCCAGTTGGAAAAAACATTGAGACATCAAAAACAGCATAATGCAAAATAGATTAAAGACCTCCATGAAAAAGGCATCTATGCAAATAAAATCTTTTTGACAACATAATGCATACAAAGAGAACTGAATCTCAGTTAAGTTCAATCTGCCTGCTGAGATGTTCAATAACTATTGCCAGTTTCAGAATTTCATTTCAACAGCAGCATATCTTTTTGCTTTGTTTGGTTAGTTTATGTGTTAGGGTTTTTTTTTTTAACTTTCAAGGTCATAACGTAGCTAATTGCATATTCTTCATCTTTGCAGATGCCACAGGAGAAAACAAGAGATGGGTTGTCAAAAGAAAAGCCACAATTTCACCAAGAAACTTTCAATGTCTCACTAGAATATAAAGCACAACCACTAGCTCATAAGTTTACACATGAATATGCTGACAGCCAATCCTGTCCTGAAAAATGCTGTGACAATAACAGATGCTTATTGAGAACAGACACTGAAGACACCATTAGGCTACCTTGTTTCCACACCTACTATAATCAGTGCCTGAGACTGTGCAATGATCAATGCTCACAGTGTTTCTGACCATTCTAAGAAGAATTAGGAATATTATCCAAGGCATTTAATGCATATGAGTGAAACAAACTTATCAAGTAGAACAGCAACATCAAATGAAAGTAGTGGTTGTGATGATGGAGATGATGATGATGATCAGATCCCAGCTATAAGTGACAGAAATCCAGAGTACCATGAGTCCCAACAATGCCATGAATACATAGACCAAGTTCTCAACAACATTTCAGTACCACAACCTGGTGGTGTCTTTCGCAGAAACCAGCCATATAGTTCTACAAATAGCTTATCAACAGTCTCAACATCACACCAGAACTCAGCTCATCAAGTCACAGGTTCTACAAATCATTCTAGTAACCGAATTGTTTGCAAGGTTATTACTCTAAACGTCTCCAGTGGAAAAAGTATGGTTTTTTTAAACTAACGTATCCTAGTCCACCCTCAGAGGACAAAATGGTTCCTACTTTTAATTATATTACACTTGCTAAGTTAGTAATTTCAAACTCATCAGTACCTTTTCTAGCCCAACAACTTCAACCAACATGGGGAATGATCATGACAAATGCCATCACTCATGGTAATGCAGTTCAGGGACTGGTCACTGGAGGTAGGCCAACAGACTTTTCTGTAGGAGATGCAATTCAACATTTGAGTTCCCTTGGGAAAGTTACTGCTGAAGATCCCCTGGATGTGGAACTCATATGCCAGAATCTTGATATTTCACAGTCGCCATTGGCTTTCTACCTCCGGCGTCTAGTGAGAGAACCACAACTTGTAGCCATGGTAATCATAAAAGGAATGTCCATCTGCTTTCTGGGAAGAGGCAATGAAGTACTGCTAATGGACAGTCATCTCCAGTTTGGAGCTCTTATAGGAAAACAGACAACAGGATATTGAGCCATTTTTAAGTACATGCAAGTGGCTGGTGAGTCCTACAGTTGACAATTGTGTTCTGTCACTTTTGTAACCTTTACTTAAAGTTTCTGTTCACGGCTCACTGATTTCGACGTCCATGGGTAAAACAGTCGCGATATTTCACAATAAACAAGACCAAGATTTAAACTGTCTCCAAAGTCCTTCTTCCATTTGTCCTGTGCATCGGAATAGTTGGAATTTAAGCTTTTCTTCCTCACTGTAAGACAGACAGGTGTTAGAGAGTCCGCCAAGTTGTTTTGATAAATTTACGCATGCGCTATGTATGACCGCTGTGTTGTGCGCGGGGGTCGTTAGGAACTTTTGGACTTAGGGAAGCAAACTGCGGCTTAGCGTCGCTTTCACGGGGAAGATTGAGTTAGTAGTCTATTGAAATGAAACTACAGTATATTTTCACGGGTTCTGCATTGGATTTGTAGCCGCGCGTTCATTTTAAGCTTGGATTTTTCGCTTCTCGGTTCGCGCGTGCGGAAATGGAGCGTGCAGCCTTGATGGACAACTTGCTAAAATGGTTTCTTTTCAACACAGTAAGCGGTCAGATAACAAGCGATGCACTGTGGAAGTAAGGTGAGGTATTTTCATTGAGAACTTGAGTTATTTTTTAATCCAAAGGGCGGTCGTAAAAAATCCCATACAAACTCTTATAATTTCGCCATGACGCTTGTACTTGCCAAGATGATCATCTCACAGCTTGGGCAGCTTGTGACCTAATTGTTCCAAACAAGCAGTCCTTTTTTGTTTTCAAAGACAGTATATATAGTGGTCTACATTAAAAAAAAAACTTAGAGACGTTAGTTTATGTAAAATACTACAACTTTATTTTAAAGGACTTCTTTCTTAAGCGAAGTTTCACCTTCTCCTCCATATACGTAAGAGTCTGAGCAATGTCTTAATATCTATGAGATATTATTATTCTAAACAATACTTTTCTCCTAAGTCTTTCCGCTGTACCAACTCATGGACTAATGCATTATACAAAGTCTTATAGTCTGCAGCTTCCCCATTGTTTGTTTTCCACAGTTTCAGCATATGAAATCCCCTTTGAGACAAAGTCTTACGGCTGTCTTCAATCTCTTCTATGTCATCTTCCGTAACTCCAGGTAGTCGACGTGCCAGTCGATCCCACTTGACACCAATAGCTTTGCCAAGTGTTTGAAGGTCATCACCAGTTACTACTCCCTCTTGAATATAAAAAAAAATAGTGTTAATTATTTTAAGACTACCAGCTTACTTGTTACTTACTGTGACTCAGTAAAAATTTTAAAATCACTCATCGCAAGTTATATTTTTTAAAGGGGGAATGGGAAAGAGAGCAAAGGCATTTTTTTTATCATGCCAGAGATTTTCCATCACGTATTGTGGAGGCAGGGTGGCCAAGTGGTAAGGACGCCAGGTTTGTAGTCTGGTGGTCTTGGAAACAAGCCCTCCACCCTGCCACTAACTGGATTGTTCTTCAATGGTTCCTTGAGTTCAGCTCCTTGGCTGTCCTTTGTATATGGCCAACTGCAGCCTGCCTCCAGCCAGTTGGGGTTTTTACACCCCATGTTCATTTACAATGTCTGGGACCAGATTGTTCATATTGGTCCTGAGATGAGCCCTGTTGGGAGCGAGACTGGTTATTTCATTCGAACGTGACAAAAAAATGATAAGCAACTTTTTGGTCAGAAGTTCATATCAAACCAATGACCAACCTGTAACTTTTAAATGCGCTCGCTCACAATGCAAAACCTGTCCTTTCATTCATAACGTAGAGAAAATTTCGGGACCCAAGAGATCTATTAAGATTAGTGATTACTTTACGTGTACCTCTGCCAGTATCATGTACTTCATAACTTGTACTTAATGCTAAAAGTTCCGAGAAAACCTTCACAACGTAGAAAGAAATAACAAGGACGCATCCACACCAGTCGCTAACTATAGACACTTAATCTCTCTAATCATTCTTAACAGCATATGTCAGTTTGCGGCCATTCCATACATCAAGGCAGTTCACCATATCCTACCAACAGCGTAGCTCCATATTCTGCATATAAACTCACACAAAACCCTCAATTCCTCCAATCGCTCTGACGAAGGGCTAACGCTCGAAACGTCAGCCTTCAAGCTCTTTACGGTGGCCAACTTACGTTTTCAATTCAGTTGTTAACACAAAATTACCTGTTATACTCTCTCACCGACGCAGCACCACAGTTTCTTTAGAAACTTACCTCCCCTCCCCCTTATTCTTTGATTATTTCTTTACCGAGCTCAAAACTAACCATCTCTCTTTTCTATTTAAAAACATAACGCTATCGACATTGCTGATCCTAGCAGTATGCAAGAGGCGTGTCATATGAACTTCGTAATAGACCTCACTCACTGCACAGTCTCTATGGCTCAGTGGTAGAGCATTCGGATTCGGAACGCGGAATCGGAAGGTCTAAATTTCGACTCCTCGTGGGGACTCAGAATTTTTTCTTTGTCCCACGCTCGTGACAAGATGAAAAACATCTTTGTTTATACAAATACATATTCACTTTCACATTCCTCTTATTATCAGGTATGATATGTTAAATCAAACTGATCAGAGTTGATTTATGTTCTGACAGCTAGTGGGGGGTATAACTGATGGTGAGTCAGTAACAATTCAATACAAAAAACTATTTTGGGAGAGATTGAAAGTTTTTCAAGTCTGCAAAGAAATTTTACATGACCGATCCTTAAAATATCATGCTATTGCATAATTAATCAACTGAAAATGTAATTTTCCTTTTGTCCTTACCCTTAAACTTCCTTGTCTTACTAGTGCTGGATACCCCAGAAGTTCCAGGTTCTCCAATTGTAGCACGTTTAGGTTTTTTGGCAGCTGAACCCCTTTCCTTCTCTAGGTTAACTTCAGTGGAACTAGAAGCTAGTATGTAAGTAAGAGAGATGAAAAGGTTAGGGTAAAAATGTGATATTTTTTGTGTTTACATTTCCTTTTGCCAACTAGTTTGTCTAAAGAACTAAAGTTTAAGAGTTTCATCCTTCAGAACAGGCATAATTTGTTGCATTTTTCAGGCAAATGGAGATAAGTACTAGGCGAGCGCAAGTCACGCACAGGGTACGACCGCAAATAATAACTCATTCCCTTGACTTCATGCTCGCCTCACGCGTGCCTCAGTTCGAACTCTGGAATTTAGTGGAAGCCGTTCTCTTCCCGTCAAGTCATGCAGTCCTGAAAAGCGAACTTTTTCCGTGGCTACGGCTGTTGCTGCTGATGGTACGAAACTGCCGCCTAAAGTCGTTTTCAAAGGATTGCGAACGCGGAGAGACCTGATTCAGTTCCCAGTTTATGAAGGTTTCGTTCCAGAAGAAAGGATGGATGGACGAGGAAGGTGTTTAAGAGTGGATCTACCATTGTTTGCCGCGTAGTCCTCCCAATGAAAAGTTCCTCCTGGTATGGGATTCCTTCGGAGACCACCTCACCGAACAAGTGAAGAGTCTCCTTCGTCGTCGAACATTGATGTCGGAGTAACACCAGGAGGGCTGACTCCAGTTCTTCAGTCACTCGATCGTTGCCTGAACAAGTCATTCAAAGAGAAGCTTAAATGAAAGTACTTGACCTGACTTATCAGCAGCCCGTTTGAATGCAAGACTAATACAGGCCTGCAGGAAAGAAGAAACCCTCAACCTGTAACATGCTTCTTCGTTGGATCAAGGATAGTTAGGCTGAAATTCCCGTGGAGATGGTTCAGGAGTCCTTCAAAGTTTGTGGCACTTCAAAAGCATTCGATGGAACAGAAGATGATGCCCTTTGTACTACAGGAAGAGATGGAAGGCATACCCGGAGCCCGGGACGATGAAGCACAAGACGAAATTGCTAACAAGTTCGAGACAGACAGCGAAGAGGAAGATTAATGACCTACGGTGGCATAGCTGTGCTCTCACTTCAAAGAAACGGCCCTTTTAGGGGCCACAACCAATGATAAAGTCAGTAACCAACGGAAACAAGTTCGTGCTTAGCTTTTTTCAAGTTGGATATTCGTCTGTAAGCCGAATCTGACCGTGTGTAGTATCCTTTACATAGTGTTTATGTTTTGATCTCAAAAAGATCTCGGCTACAAGCCGAAACCCTTTTTCGGCCAAAATTTGGTAAGACATCGGGAAATATTCGGAAAAAATCGCTCGGCTTATAGCCGAATTGCTACGTTAGTTAAGAAAAAAACTTTGTGGGATGAAAGAATGCGACTAGTGCTGACCATACAACTTAATGTCTTTGAGATAATAGTACTAATTGGTAATGTAAACCTCGTACTTCAATAAGGATTGTACTATGCAAAATTGTTTATCCCTCGTTAAAGAATGTTACAGCTGGCTAGTACAAGTCATGCACAACCAGCAAACACAAGATAATTGATGGCCAAATAGGCAATTGCCATGACAATCAAAACAATTGCAACTTAAAGCCCTGCTTTGTCAAAACCACAAATGATTTTGCCCCTTAAAATGATAAATAATTAATTAGTTTGCTGATCACCCTGTAACAAGTGTCCAAAGTGAGATAAACATTTCCCTGGAACAGATCTAATAGCAATCTGGGTAACAAACAACAATATATGAAGTCCACAGATTTCCAAGGAATGTAAAGTTACATGGTTCCTTCATTTTAAAAGTAAGTCACCTTTTTGTTGCTTCCCAAATATGAAGGGAACCTACATTTGATGCACACTGCTCTGGATCCTCAGCAGGGTCTTTCACAAAATGGAAATACCCCTATTAAGGTATTCACATTGAATATGTCATACCTATGAAATAATACTGTCCAGGAATTGTTTTCTTAGATATTTAAAGAATGTCCAAAAATATAGTGGTATATTGATTTTGTTAAAATGTTTTCTACCTGCTACATATAAAAGGACACAGTGTTGATAACACAAGGGTATGTTTAAAAAGTAGACAAATGAGTAACAATACCAGCTACTCGCTTTCGAAGTGAACTTCTTTTGCCTTGGGACTCCTGTTGCATTTCCTTAGGATGTCCTGATAGATGTCAATAAATGAATAGCACAAATTACACAAAGACAAGTAATCAAAGTATCAGTGTGACTTAATCACCCATCTAAGCCCCACTTGAGTAAAATATGTTGATGCAGCTGTACTTCAACCCATAGCATTACAATGCATGGAACTAAGGAGGGGTATAGTGTTAAGCCTTGCAATTATCTGTAATTTGTTGCATATTTTTGTGCCAAGCTTGTCATCTGGTGTAAATTCAATGTCTTGTACCAGCTCTATACAAAAAGAACGCAGAGTGTTGATAACTCTAAGGCATGTTTAAAAAGTAAACAAGTGAGTAATAATACCAGCTACTCGCTTTCGAAGTGAACTTCTTTTGCCTTGGGACTCCTGTTGCATTTCCTTAGGATGTCCTGTTAGATGTCGATAAATGAATAGCACAAATTACACAAAGACAACTAATCAAAGTATCAGTGTGACTGCCATTCATCTAAGCCCCACATGAGTAAAATATAACGGTGCAGCTGTACTTCAACTCATAGCATTACAATGCATGAAACTAAGGGAGTGAATCCTGTAATAGTGGTAAGCCTTGAGAATAACTGTAATTTGTTGCATATTTTTGTGGCAACTTTATTATCTGGCATAATTCAATGTTTTGTACCAGCTCTATACGAAAAGGATGCAGAGTGTTGATAACAATAAGGTGTGGTTAAAAAGTAGACAAGTGAGTAATTACCAGCTACTTGCTTTCGAGGTGAACTTCTTTTGCCTTGGGACTCCTGTTGCATTTCCTTAGGATGTCCTGTTAGATGTCAATAAATGAATAGCACAAATTACACAAAGACAAATAATCAAAGTATCAGTGTGACTGTCACTCAACTACGCTCCACTTGAATAAAAATATGTTGATGCAGCTGTAATTCAACCCATAGCATCACAATACATGAAACTAAGGAGGGGTATAGTGTTAAGCTTAGCAAGTAACTGTACTTTGTTGCATATTTTTGTGGCAAGCTTGTCGTCTGGTACAATTTCAATGTTTTGCACCTGCTAAAAAAAACGCAGAGTGTTGATAACTCTAAGGAATGTTTAAAAAATAAACAAGTGAGTAATAATACCAGCTACTGGCTTTCGAGGTGAACTTCTTTTGCCTTGGGACTCCTGTTGCATTTCCTCAGGATGTCCTGTTAGATGTCGATAAATGAATAGCACAAACTACACAAAGACAACTAATCAAAGTATCAGTGTGACTGTCATTCATCTAAGCCCCACATGAGTAAAATATGTTGGTGCAGCTGTACTTCAACTCATAGCATTTAACAATGCATGAAACTAAGTAGGTGAATCCTGTAATAGTGGTAAGCCTTGAAAATAAATGTAATTTGTTGCATATTTTTGTGGCAAACTTATAATCTGGCATAATTCAATGTTTTGTACCAGCTCAGTGTTGATAACAATAAGGTGTGGTTAAAAAGTAGACAAGTGAGTAGTAATACCTGCTACTCGCTTTCGAGGTGAACTTCTTTTGCCTTGGGACTCCTGTTGCATTTCCTTAGGATGTCCTGTTAGATGTCAATAAATGAATAGCACAAATTACACAAAGACAAGCAATCAAAGTATCAGTGTGACTGTCACTCATCGACACCCCACTTGGGTAAAATATGTTGATGCAGCTGTACTTCAACTCATAGCTACTCATCTGTAATTTTTTTCATATTTTGTGGCAACCTTATTATCTGGCGTAATTCAATGTTTTGTGCCAGCTTTATACAAAAAGGATGCAGAGTGTTGATAACAATAAGGTGTGGTTAAAAAGTAGACAAGTGAGTAGTACACAAAGACAACTAATCAAAGTATCAGTGTGACTGTCATTCATCTAAGCCCCACATGAGTAAAATATGTTGGTGCAGCTGTACTTCAACTCATAGCATTTAACAATGCATGAAACTAAGGAAATGAAACCTGTAATAGTGGTAAGCCTTGAAAATAACTGTATTTTTTTGCATATTTTTGTGGCAAGCTTGTTATCTGGCATAATTCTATGTTTTGGACCAGCTCTATACGAAAAGGATGCAGAGTGTTGATAACAGTAACGTATGGTTAAAGAGTAGTAGACGAGTGAGTAATACCAGCTACTCGCTTTCGAAGTGAACTTCTTTTGCCTTGGGACTCCTGTTGCATTTCCTCAGGATATCCTGTTAGATGTCGATAAATGAATAGCACAAACTACACAAAGACAACTAATCAAAGTATCAGTGTGACTGTCATTCATCTAAGCCCCACATTAGTAAAATATATTGGTGCAGCTGTACTTCAACTCATAGCATTACAATGCATGAAACTAAGGAGGTGAAACCTGTAATAGTGGTAAGCCTTGAAAATAACTGTAATTTTTTGCATATTTTTGTGGCAACCTTATTATCTGGCATAATTCAATGTTTTGTACCAGCTCTATACGAAAAGGATGCAGAGTGTTGATAACAATAAGGTGTGGTTAAAAAGTAGACAAGTGAGTAGTAATACCTGCTACTCGCTTTCGAGGTGAACTTCTTTTGCCTTGGGACTCCTGTTGCATTTCCTCAGGATGTCCTGTTAGATGTCAATAAATGAATAGCACAAATTATACAAAAACAAGCAATCAAAGTATTATAGTGTGACTGTCATTCATCTACACCCCACTTGAGTAAAATATGTTGATGCAGCTGTATTTCAATCTAGAGAATTATAATGCATGGAACTATAAAAGGAGGTGAAACCTGTAATAATGTTAAGCCTTGCAAGTAACTGTAATTTGTTGCATATTTTTGTGGCAAGCATAATTGTCATCTGGTGTAATTTCAGTGTCTTGTACCTGCTCTATACAAAAAGAACGCAGAGTATTGATATAACTCTAAGGCATGTTTAAACCAAGTGAGTAATAATACCAGCCACTCGCTTTCGAGGTGAACTTCTTTTGCCTTGGGACTCCTGTTGCATTTCCTCAGAATGTCCTGTTAGATGTCGATAGCGGAATAGCACAAATTACACAAAGACAAGCAATCAAAGTATCAGTGTGACTGTCATTTATCTATAAGCCCCACATGAGTAAAATATGCTGGTGCAGCTGAACTTCAACTCAGCATCACAATGCATGGAACTTAAAGGAGGACTGAAACCTGTGATAGTGTTTTAAAAGTCTTGTAAGTAACTGTAATTTGTTGCATATTTTTGTGGCAAACTTGTTATCTGGTGTAATTTTAATGTTTTGAACCTAGTTTATATAAAAAGAATGCAGAGTGATGATAACACTAGGGGATTTTTAGAAAGTAGACAAGTGAGTCATAATACCAGCCACTTGCTTTCGAGGTGAACTTCTTTTGCCTTGAGACTCCTGTTGCATTTCCTCAGGATGTCCTGTTAGATGTCAATAAATGAATAGCACAAATTACACAAAGACAACTAATCAAAGTATCAGTGTGACTGTCATTCATCTAAGTCCCACATGAGTAAAATATATTGGTGCAGCTGTACTTCAACTCAATCATAGCATTACAATGCATGAAACTAAGGAGGTGAAACCAGTAATAGAGGTAATTAAGCCTTGTAAATAAATGTAATTTAATTGTTGCACCAGCTCTATACAAAAGGGATGCAGAGTGTTGATAAGTCACTAAGGCATGGTTAAAAAAGTAAACAAGTGAGTGATAATACCAGCCGCTCGCTTTTGAGGTGAACTTCTTCTGCCTTGGGACTCCTGTTGCATTTCCTCAGGATGTCCTGTTAGATGTCATTAAATGAATAGCACAAATTACACAAAGACAAGTAATCAAAGTATTGATGTAACTGTCATTTTTCTAAGCCCCACATAAGTAAAACACGTTGATGCAGCTGTACTTCAACTTATAGCATTACAATGCATGGAACTAAGGAGGTGAAACCTTTAATAGTGTTTCGTCTTGTAAGCAACTGTAATTTGTTGCATATTTTTGTGGCAAGCTTGTTATCTTGCATAATTTTAATGTTTTGTACCTACCCTATACAAAAAGGATGCAGAGTGTTATTAACACCAGGGCATGTTCAGAAAGTAGACAAATGAGTAATAATACCAGCTACTCGCTTTCGAGGTGAACTTCTTTTGCCATGGGACTCCTGTTGCATTTCCTCAGGATGTCCTGCTAGATGTTGATAAATGAATAGCACAAATTACACAAAGACAACTAATCAAAGTATTGGTGCAAGTGTCATTTTTCTAAGCCTCACATTAGTAAATATGTTGTTGTAGCTGTACTTCAACTCATAGCATTACAATGCATGGAACTAAGGCAAGCTTTTTATCTGGTGTAATTTCAATGTTTTGTACCAGCTCTATACAAAAAGGATGCAGATTGTTGATAACACTAAGGCATGGTTAAAAAGTAAATAAGTGAGTAATAATACCGGCTACTCGCTTTCGAGGTGAACTTCTTTTGCCTTGGGACTCTTGTTGCATTTCCTCAGTATGTCCTGTCAGATGTCGATAAATGAATAGCACGAATAGCATGATTAAAATATGTTGTTGCAGCTGTACTTCAACTTATAGCATTACAATGGAAATAAGGAGGTAAAACTTGTAATAGTGTTAAGCCTGATAAATAACTCTCATGTTTTCCATATTTTGGTGGCAAGCTTGTTATCTGGTGTAATTTCAGTGTTTTATAACAGCTCTTTATAAAAAGGATACAGAGTGTGAATGACATGAGGGCATGTTTAAAAAATAAACAAGTGAGTCATAATACCAGCCACTTGCTTTCGAGTTGAATGCCTTTTGCCTTGGGACTCCTGTTGCATTTCCTTAGCACGTTCTGTTAGATGTCAATAAATGAATAGCACATATTACACAAAGACAAGTAATCAAAGTATCAGTGTGACTGTCATTCATCTAAGCCCCACACAAGCAAAGTATGTTGGTGTAGCTGTACTTCAACTCATAACATTACAATGGAACTAAGGAGGTGAAACCCGTAATAGTGTTAAGCCTTGTAAGTAACTGTAATTTGTTGCATATTTTTGCAACCTTGTTATCTGGTGTAATTCGGTGTTATGTACCTGCTCTATATGCAAAGGATGCAGAGTGTTAATTACGCTCGGGCATGCTTTAAAAATAGACCATCGAGAATAATACCTGCCAGTCGTCTTCGAGCTGAGTGCCTTTTGCCTTGGGACTCCTGTTGCATTTCGTCAGCACATCCTGTTAGATACCAATAAATGAATAGCATAAATTACACAAAGATAACTAATCAAAGTATCAGTGTGACTGTCATTTATCTACACCCCACATGAATAAAATATGTTGGTGCAGCTGTACTTTAACTCATACATCATAACAATGGAACTAAAGAGGTGAAACCTGTATTAGTGTTAAACCTTGTAAGTAACTGTAATTTGTTTCCTTGATTTTTGTGGCAAGCTAGATATATGGTGTTATTTCAAAGGCCATTTTAAGGATTGGTGTCTTTGAGTACATGAAAATCAAAACAACTTTGCACTAGAACATACATATTGTACTGAAATCAGCAACAATCCAATTTGCACAGATACAAAACACCCTCTAATATCCATCTATTTTTTTTTATATCACTCTTATTAATTCAAGTCATGGTGCCTATTTCAAAATGATGAACAGGTTTGTGCCAATCAGCTATTAGATACTTGTTGAGTTCTTGTATTTCTGGTAAATGCATATCAAACAAATATTTCAACCTGAATGCAAGGCTCTAAGCTTCTTCACAAAAGCAGCACATTGGTCACTCCAAGAGTATCTCTCTTTATAATTGTCACGTAGCATTCTTGCCCCTTCTAATCTAGTTTTCAGATGTTTTTGTACTCGCTTGATTTGTTCAGCCCAATCAGCTTCTTGATCTACTATGCAGCCATGCCCTAAAGGTACTTCCTCTAGAGCCTCTGCCAAGCCAGAATTATGGGTAATAAGGATTGGTACACCTGCTGACAATGCCTCCAAAGCTGTGAGACCAAATGCCCCTGTACCTGAAGGCATCAAAACAAGATCCACTTTTGAAAATACCTGAGCCAGTTTTGTTCTTTCTTTGTTAAAACTTCTCACAATCAGATGACTACGAGAGATCCCAAGGCCTTCCAAACTCTCAGCCAGTTTCTCTTGTTCTCCCTCAGGGGCACCAACAACTTTGAGAATATAACTTGGCTCATACTTATTAAGCTGTGCCACTACTTCAGCAGCAACATGAAGACCTTTATGGTCAAAGTCTTCAGTGTTCCCTCTGCCAAACACTAAGATTTCAAAGGTCTTTGAATTTCGGTGTTGCTGCTGTTCGAAAAAAGACTCATCAAAAATGCCAGGTATAAGATTGAATATATGATCTTTCTTACACTGATGCAGAGCAGAATTAAAGGATTCTTTAAGCAGAGAGCCAACTGTTATAACCATGTCAGCGTTCTTACACAATTCTACCTCAGTTTCATGCTGTTCCTGCCCTTTGGAAATGGCAACAGGGGTTTTCTGGAACAATGCTGTTTCTTCTGCATTTCTCAGGACCACATGTACCCATTTACAGCCATGGTTATCCCTAAATACCTGTCCATGACGTCCAGGCTCAATGCCATAACAAATGATATAGTCAGAACTAAATCCTTCTGGAGGAAACTGCAGACAATCAACTGGTTCATAGCCTGTATACTTTTTAGCTTCAAAAACCTTGATGTTATACTTTTGGGCATCTTCTCTATCCTCTGGACTGGCATATGGAATTAAAATACAAATTTCTACATTTTCTAGTCTAGACAACACTATAGCCATCTGTCTCATGAAGGTGGAACGACCACCTTTGGTTGACTGACTCCATTCCTCAATCACAAAGGTTATCTTAAGCTTCATGAGGGCAGCTTGGTTATTCAGATAATGTCCCGTAAAATTTCAGATCAAATTGGAAATTTCAGAAAAATCAGAATTGTATGATTTCCCTTGATCCATATATATTAGATCCAAAAGAAAAAATACATTAAATCAAAATGCCACAGATGTATTTGCAGTTCACTAAAAACTCATGTGAGTATATAGGCAGGAGCCTAGAGGTAACATTTTGATCAATCCATTAAAGTTATTGAAGGTTCTGGAATTCTGTGAAATTTCTCCAATACCTCATTCACACCAAAGCCTACATATGTATTAAGGCTTTTTAGTTTAAAATGGCTCAAAATATTTTTTTGATGGAGAGCAGTCTCCTCTAAAAGCAATTTTTGTCAACTTTACATGTAGCACATTGAAAATAAAAGTTAACAAGTATTCGAATCCTACTGAAAATCTAGTTTTTCAATTCTCTGTTTCTGATTTTCATTCAGTTAAACCCAATTTAACAAAACATGTTTCCTGGTGTGAATAGGTTTGGGTATGAGATGCCAGGGTGTGCTGTTTCCAGCTATATGTAGCTCCCTTGTCAATGTTCTGCTCCTTTGAAAAGAAAATTGCAATTATTATAATTTGTTCCAAGCAGAAATTTCACTCACATCGAAGCACAAAAATTTGACCCTAAAAATCAGTAAAGTATGCCAAACCAAAAAATAAAACTCCTACAAATTTTTTAATCCATATTGACATGATGGCATTCATTTTTTTCATAAAGCAGTAAACAATACTTATTACTGATCAGCAATTCCATACACCGGCGCTATTCCAATTCATCACTAAACTAATAGGGGGTTTTCCATTTCAGAACAAGCAGTGCCTCTTATCAGCTTTCCACATGTGGCGCAAGATTAGTTAGGCTAGCCTATGTACATACAAAGGAATTTCTTGAAGCATTGCTTCATTTGCCACGTGTAAAATTTTTGGATCTATCAAATTTCGTCCTACATTTTGTAAAGGGCTCGTTCATGCTACCTCGCTTACCTTATAACCCTTGGTATGGGGTCTGTGATCATGATGGAGGATCCCAGATATGAGATCTCATCTCCTTTAGTTTCCAACCAAGGCCATCAAAGTATATGCTGTTGAAATTTTATCATCAGTCGTTACGATGCTGGATGCATTTTTTAAGTACTTCCTTTTATTTTAACCTCTCGTGCGCTGGATGCTCCTTCGCTTAATTGCCTAGCCGTTATTTAGTACAAACAAGAGCGAGCCGAATAGGAGGCCACATGAAGTATGTCATAAATTACAGACTGAGATTGTTTAGCGATCCCTCTCACCTTATCTATAGGTGTAAATCCATTCACTTGATCGCGTGTTCCTCGAGAAAATTCGATCGATTTGTACTTGTGGTCAAGAAAGGCAACAGTAATTTAACCCAGAACCAACGTAATCCCATGAGACATGCAACTCTCTTGGGGGAAAGGTCAAAGGATTTTGGTTGTGTCACAATAAAATTTGCCTTATACCCCATAAGGATCTGCAATATTCTCACAATTTCCCTTCATTAGTTGTTAATTGACTGTCAATTTTCTATACTTCTCCTTCATACTCTATTGGCGACGACCGATCCCCCTCCGTTCACCCCTGAAAACAATGTGATCCCTCTAAAATCCTTCACCCATCCCTTAGTAAGACTCGAAGATCTAGAGATATGTTCTGTTGTTAAGCACAAAGGAAGCGGCTGGAACACAAAAGATGTGTGGAGAGAAACACGAGACGTGCGGAGCTCCGTAGGGAGAAACAGGAGACGTACGGAGCTCCGTAGGGACACGGGAGGCAGTCGAGAGTTGCCGTCTCACCTGTTCCGAAATTTCACTTTTAACTAACGGAAAAAAGCCGAGAGAAGTCTCGGAAAAGATCGGAGATATTACAATTTGGCAGATGCATGGCGTGACAGCTCAGCCCCATATTTTGTACTCTGACAGAGCACGCTTTACACCAATGACGACGCGCGTTAGATCCGAACTTTATTATGTGGAGTACAATTTGTATAGGTAATTACATGATTTCGAGTTCAATTTGAAATAAATAAGCACAAGAGGATTTTTTTAAAGACCAACAAAATTGCACGAGCCCGTAGGGCGGGAGAGGGGGGAATAGGAGTTTTGGAAACAAAAGTTGCAAAATTTGCCACATGCAAAACATGAAGCAAAAATGGTGCGATTCGTGAATAAATCGCACCAATTAGAGCCAATCAGATTACAGGGACCACAAGTGATTTCAAAATGGGTGCAATAAAACCAAAAATGAGTTCCGAGGGCGAACATCTTACCTCAAAGAGCGGTCAAATCCATGAAATTGAGAGAATTAAGATTCAAAGTATGTTAAACCAGAAGGTGATCAAATTTGCTGGTGTGCCGGTTTTATCTGTTAGATTGTCTTAAAAGCTGAGGGTACACTGCCGCGGAAGACGCTTGGGTCCAAGGTTAATTTTCTCTCAACCAGGCGTGATATGGTCAATTTTGCGTTCTTCCATTACAAGGTAAGTAAGGTGCATAATCACGTTTTGGAACACCACGCCTTGAACGTTCATAGTGAATACACTCCATGCACTTTATAACCTGGCCAAATATTCCATTACATTGCATAAAAGACATCTACTAAGGAAACAATAGTTAAGTATAATACTACCATGGCAAAATAAAATATCGTCACTCTCGATTTGTACAAAATTGAATCGAAGTTGTGATTACCAACGACGAACGACTGCATTGGTTTCGTTCCTCAATCATTAAAAAACACTCACATAATCACTAACCTAATTGCTCCAAACAAGCAGTTCGTTTAATTTTTCAGAGACAGTAAATCTTTACAGTTTTCCACATTAAAATACTTAGAGTATTTATATAGGTTTGTGAAAAATACTCCAACATTATTTTAAAGAACTTCTCTCTTGAGCCGACCTACGATCATTTCAAAGCTTCAACATTCTCCCCATCTATGTGTCTTTCTTCTAATAGATCCAATCAAATGCGTGTATAATATTAGCTAATAACACATGCCGTACAACGTTGTAAAAAGGCTATCGATAAAAGGATGTAAATCAAGCATAAATTAATCACCAGATTCTTACATTTAACAAACAACTGGAATCTATTGGCAACTAGCAAAGTTACCTAAACTTTCTACAAAATGCCGTCTCTTTTTAAACTAACTGCCAGGTTTTGGTATGAGCAATATCTTTGAGATAAGATTATTCAAAACAACACTTTTCTGCTACTTCTTTCCGCTGGAACAAATTGTGGATTAATGAATTATGCAAAGTCTTATGGTCTACAGCTTCCCTGCAGTTTGTTTTCCACAGTTTCAGCGTGTGAAATCCCCCCTTGAGACAAAGTCTTATATCTGTCTACAATTTCTTCTATGTCATCTTCTGTAATTCCATGTAGTTTACGAGCTAGTCGATCCCACTTGACATCAATAGCTTTGCCAAGTGTTTGAAGGTCATCATCAGTTACTACTTCCTCCTGAATGACAAAACAAATGGAGAGTTAATTATTTTAAGATTACCAACTTTAACAACTGTGACTTAGTAAGAATTTTCAAATCATTCATTGCAATTGAACTTTTTTTGTGGGGGAGGGGGGGGAGAGAGAGAGAGAGAGAGAGAGAGAGAGAGAGAGAGGGAGAGCTAGACGAAACGGCACTTTTGTAACGTTGATGTGGCACTTTCGCAACGTTAAGTGGCACTTTTGCACCCCTCAAGTGGCACTTTTGTAACTAGTGGCACAATTCTAACGTACCTTATGGCACTTTTCTAACTTCACGTGGCACTTTGTTAACCTTGCATGGCACTTTTGTACCATTGTGGCACTTTGGCACCTTTATGGCACTTTGGCAACTTTCATGTGCCACTTTGGGAAAGTCAGGGTTACATGTTATTATTTTTGTTATTATTTTCAGAACCTAACCTTCATAGTGTTGTCAAATTTGCAACCTCTTTTCATGGTTTACACACTTTATAATACACAGTAGGAATATCACAAAATGCTCAAATATAGAGTAAAACACAAGGTGCAGGAGAGAGGTTTGAATACCAAGAATTGGCATCATTTGTATGGCAATTTCACAACTCGTTATCGTTTTTATAACGCGCGCACCAGTGTCGTTTATCGGCGCTCTACTAACTTTGATAGTTGACTTGGGCCTTCTTCCCTTGTCAACTATCAGCAAATAAAAACCACGGGTTTGCCGTCTTATTGTTAAATAGTCATGAATGACATGGAAAGAATACAAGCTGAATTTGATATTTTCTGGGTTGAGAAACGCGCCAACCACAGAACCACAGCAACAACAACCACAGGGGAGGGGTAGGTGGGCAGTTTCCCAGAAACGACCATTAATCCAGAAATTCTCTGTCTCTTTTTGTTATTGGGAGACGTTGTCACGATTGCATTTGCTTGCGCCCTTACGAATTGACAATGCCCAGCAAATTTCCTAGTTCCTACTTTTACCTCAGGCCCTCACGATTCACGTTGGGGAACGTTTTAGTTTGATTGTCATCAGTCGTCAATTTAACTCACGCTATTTCGTTCAGTCGTTTTTGAAAACACTGCCTTCGGCAGACAGGCTCAGTCTCAATTCAACATGCAGCACATTCAGTCGTTCGTATACTTTATTTGCTTTCATTTTAGTCATTCTTTATTTCCCGCGCCTGTTTGATTGACGTCTTTAATTTTGAAACGCAGCATATTACATGTCAACGGAAGCATTAGTTTTTAGTCGCGGATTGTATGTCATTGTTATTTCTGCTTTTAATTTCTCCCTCTTTTCTTCCCCTCAACGTCTTAGCCTTGAAATCCTACCCCCGCCACCCTGTAAATCTTCTTTGGGCATCTTTCTGATCGATTTCTCAGTTTGGCTCCTCTCGTGTTCTCGATCCGCCCTTTCGCTTGTTCATTAAGATGGCCGGATTCTCTGGCTTTTGATTCAATCTGTCGAGGTGCAAGGGAGGAATACTAGGGGAATAATTAAAAGAGCTACGTCACGGAAATTTTGTGGATAGTTGGTCTAAATTGCTCTGAAATTATTGATAGACTACTTAACCCAGAAAAACATGCAGAGAAAAATAATAAAAAAATAAATAAATTTGCGGAAAGAAATAAGACCCCTACTATTAATTTCGATTTTTGATGGCCCGAGGAAACAACTTGAAACGTTTAGCCTAAATTTTTCACGTTGTAATTCATTTCCATCCAAGCCATTCGCAGCCAAAGACGGTTGTAAGCTGTTTCAGTGCTCTGATATAGCAATTGTTAATAAAAATGGCAGTTATTTTCAGGTTTCCTACGACACCAATACATAATTTGGCTGTTTAAAAATTTGTTAAAATCCCTGACAAAGCCCCTTCAAGTCGTATAGTGTCTATCGCGTGTCCCCTTCGTGCAGAACGCTTACCCTTACAATGCAGTACTTAAAATGTTTCAAAAATTGCTCATGGTGTAAAAAAAAATTGCTTCAGTGTGTGGCTGTAGCTGCAGCATTAGTTGTCTTGGAAGCAGCCATCATTTTTATTATTATTTATGGGCTAGCATACTCAGATAATCTGGAAATGGTGTTCAACCCTGATATTAATCCATCATCCAACAGCGACTGATTCACCTTGGGAATTACTGTGCTCTTGCGATGTTGTGCAAGACATTCCACGGTGCCTTCAATGAATTATTTGAGGTTTTAAATCCACGCAAAAAAAAATGGTTATTAGAAAATTGAACTTCTTTTTTTAAGCTCGACGTCATTACTTTGTCGGTAAAAAGAAACAAAAAACGAGCAAAAGCAACAGCCAAAATAAATAGACCTATAGGTAAGCTGAAAACATCTGACTTCTTTTAATTCTGACGACGTTGTGCAATTTTCTATGCTCGATGAAAAATTCCTTGCCGCCCTTGCCTCTCTGACACAAGTTGTATTATTTTCAGTCTTCAAAGGAATAAAAATTCAGTGAGATTACCTCAAACATTTTAACTACGGCACATTCATGCGAGTGTGCTGACTAATTCGTGCATTTTTCTCTTAAGTGAGGAATTTTATCACGGAACGGAGCTTTTCTGTAGAAGAGATGCCTAGAGGTCATTAACTATTTAACATTCGCTAAAAACCGAATAACTGCCTGTTTTATTATAACAAGCAAACTTAACTGAAGTTTGAACCCCTTACTTCCCCCGCTCATCTTTCTTTATATGCATATTTGGCGCTAAAAATAAGCGGCCGATTTCCCGGAGTTTTATACCAGCTCATGGAAATTGGATGACTGGGTATTTTATTATGCTATAAAGTCAGTAGAATTCTAATATTATCAAGTACAAAATATGGTGTTTAAAACTTCCCCTTGACAACAAAATCAGTCGAAACACCAAAAGCATGTGTATGGAGGATGAGCAGGTTTTA